GCCTGACTTATTGAGGAGCAAGGAGATGGGCATGTGGCAGCCCTCTCCCCAAGCTCTCCTTTGCGGCCAGACCACTGTGTGCCTCAAGGCTGCCGGGCTCCTGCCTTTGCACCTGGGCTCAGTCCTTTGCACCTGGGCTCCTGCCTTTACACCTCAGCCCAGTGACCCACCAACCACCCCTAGAGGGGATGGCTCCTGTGATCCAGTCAAACCCCTTTGTTCCTTCCCAAAAGCTCTGGTCTGGGGACAAGTGGTATCTTTTCCACATTGGGAAGCCAGGAGAAGCCAGTGAGTCGGGGCAAACATGGCAGGTAACACACTGTGAGGCACAGGGTAGACTTCACTGGAGGAAAAACCTACAGGCAGAGACTGAGGCAGAATTCACAGGGCCCTGTCATCCCAGGACAGGCAGTGTGAATCAGCATGGCTGCATAAACACGTGGTGGGTGTTAGGAACCCATGAAAGACCTGCATCCCAGCTGTCTACACCTGTGAGTCCTTTAGCTATTTGAAAAGGAGTTAGGAAGATTCAGGCAGCACCCGGCCGGCCACGTCATAGAGATTTTGGGTGGGGAGAATGTTCGGGGGACCAGAGGGACATTGGAGTTTGGACTCTGGTCACTTGGTTCCCAGACTCCGCGAGGGCAGAGTGGACAGGTGGCCATGAGATCATTCCATAGACAAAGGTTGTCTCTCCTTGGTGACATAAGACAACTCCACACGATTCCTTAGTGCATGGTGACATCGAGGGTGTCATTTGCAAAGGGACAGTGGGGACCTGGAAACAGGCCTTATGGAGTTGTGAGGGTTAAATAAGAGCACATGCGTGAAGCGCCCAGCATGGTGCCTAACACGGTAAGCACGGGCCGACTCACAGCTTGTCGCAGGCAAGGGGCGTCCCGAGGCCCGTGCCCACCCATGAGCATTCAGCCCAGACCTCAGCCTCCTGAAGGACCCGATGCCCTGCTGGGGCGGGGCCTCATTTGTCCCCCAATTCCTGACACTGCCCCAGGACCTCCTTGGGTGGGGGATGCCTCCCGGGCGACCCCTGAGAGCCAATCCCAGCACTACTGGCAGAACCAAACTGACATGACAGCCTCGGGGACCCACGGCGGGCCTGCACCCTCTAGTAGAGACGCCTGCCAACCAAGGAGAGAGACCTCCACCCTCTGAAGACAGAGGCACCTCGGACTTGGGGTCACCTTGTACACCAGTGGCCTTATCGGCATGCTGTCTTTCCTTGCACCCCACCAGGAGACTGAGGGATGTTGGTGGCCCAGAAACTTCAGGGGGTGGGGGAGGCGCTCAGGCTTGCCAGAGCCCAGCTGACCCCTAAGTCAGCCCTCAAGGTCCGGAGGCAAAGATCTGGCTACAACTCAACCTTCCCGCTGCCGCCCCCACCTCCCAGCCCAGAGGGGACACTTTTCTTCTCACTTCAGTCCTTGGGTTTTTTTTTTAATGGCCTCATGACCAGGAAGTTTAAACTTTTAGTCCTTTCTCAAGTGACAGGCTAGCCAACAGTGTTTTGGTTTCAGTTAAAACCATGTCTTTTCTTTAAAAAGCTAATAATAAGAGAAGTCAGTTGGGTACACATTTAATCACTGGATTCCTACAGAAATAAAGGAGAAGCCGACAACACACAAAAAGCAGAATCTTGGGCACTAATATTTTCATTCGTTTCTATCTTTTGTGTTTAATCACAATAATGAAGTAAGCAAGTCTATACAGGTTGTTACCTAGTAGAGACAAAGCTGCAGTGATTTAAATTATTTGCAGATCGACAAAAATAGATTAACGTGGAGGAGTTACTGTAAAATCATAATCATTGCCACAGATTAAAACCCCAACGTACCTATGAAGGATTTAAAACAACCACCACGAACCTCTCAGTGAACTACATGAGAAGGAAACCTTCTCTCTCTGATAAAGGCCATCTATAAAACAGAGAAACACCTAAGGCTAACATCATACTTCATGGTGAAACATAGAGCACGTTCTCCCTCAGATGGGGAACGGGGCAGGAATGTCTACTCTAACCACGGCAGGTGTGTCTGGCCAACACAGTGTCTGTCACATACTAGTTACTCAGGACACAGCTGGCTGACTGAGTGCATGAAGGGAGGAGAGGGCCGGCGAGTGGCTCTACAGGGGCGTGAACCCCAGGTGCAGAGGGGCCCTCCAGGCAGGGCCTGGGCATGGAGGGGCAGGGCTGACTTGGGCCGGGCCCACTGGAGGAAAACAGGTTGGTAGAACTGGACTGGGGGCAGGGGCAAAGCAGCCTTTGGCTGGGAGGCAGGATGAAGGCTGACACCAGAGGCCAACTCCTTCCACTAATAGCATCCCCCAGGCAGCTGGGGAAACTGGTTTACCACCCCTCCCCCAGGCTGTCTCCTTTAGTGCTAACAGCCATTTGCCTGGCCAAGGGTTCTGTGTCAGAGGTGACAGCTAACCCAACACATTACTAGGTCAATGTAGGCTGACCAGGAAAGGATTCATTCCCCACCACCACTTTAGTGCTCCAACATGTGTGTGCGCATGTGCGCGCGCGCGCACGCACACACACACACACACACACAGACACACACACACACACACTCTGGATTCTCAGTTCAGTGAGAACGTCCCCGTAGATTAGCCTGGTCCTAGGGGATCACCTCTTCTACATTGCAAATGAAGGAGCCAATGAGATACATTTTGCATACCCCCAACACTTAGGTCTCTACAAATATTTGTGGAGTGAATGAAAGTTCCCAATAACAAGAATAATAAAAAAAAAAAAACCTATCTGTATGACCCTGAAAATAGGTTAGGTTCTGAAGGGTTCTAGAGGTCCATGATGTTTTGTAATTTTTTATTTTATGTTTTCTAAAAGATTTCATTTATGAGAGAGAGAGAGAGAGAGAGATAGCGAGAGCTAGAGCATGAGCAGGGGAGAGAGGGAGAAGCAGACTTCCCGCAGAGCAGGGAGTCCGATGTGGGGCTCGATCCCAGGACTCTGGGATCATGACCTGAGCTAAAGGCAGACACTTAACCGACTGAGCCACCCAGGCGCCCCATTTTTTGTAATTTTTTATATAATGGGTTTCAACATCTTTCTACCAGATTTATGGGTAGAAATAGAAAAGGCTAAATTTAGGGAGGAAATGTGACATTAGGCTACAGACTGAATATGGAGCAGGAGCAAGGAAAAGCTGAGCAGGAGAAGAATCTCTGTGTGATGTGGATGAGCTGTCTGTTTACTCTTGTTTCCAGAACAATGGAGCTCACCATTGACGTCAATGTACATGAAGAAACAAAAGGCCTTTGGGTGTGTACAGCTGGGCCTGGATTTGCTTGGTGTGTGTGTGTGTGTGTGTGTGTGTGTGTGTGTGTGTGTGTGTTAAGGAGTGGGAGGGAAGGGTATCTAGGTGTCAAGTGTCAGAGAAACAGGAGGAGGGTCACTTATCACCTTGGAGTGTGAGGCTCACAGCAGGCCTCCCAGGGCTTCTGTAGGAAGGGCTGTCCTGATGAACCCTATTTGCCCCAGTTTGCATCTGGGTCTGACAAAGTTGCATACACATCTTGTCAAGGAGAAGGATAGAAGTGGCTCCAACACAGGAATTCCTGAGTGTGGGTTTGCCTGCAGGAAGAACAGGACCAATCGAGGGAGATGCCAGAGGCCCCTTCAGCCCTTCAGAGCCCAGCCAGCCCACCCTCCCTGCTGGGACCCTGCATTTTCAGAGCCTGCTGCAGCTGAGCTGCCTTGGAGGCTGCGTGCTGTTTCACGTCCTACAAGCAGGTCTCAGGCCTCTAGCCGGTCTGAGAGTAAGTTCCACTGTCTCCTGGTACCTTAAACAGAAACCTCAGGCTTGACCGGCCCCGGGCCATGCTTACTGAAAGAAAAATGGCCACAGCCAGGGTGCTCCAGATCTAGCACCGTCTCCCAGAGCCCTACGCTCCTGGCCCGTGTGTCCCTGGGGCTTGTGCCTTCTGAAAACCTTCCTTTTCCAAATGCCTTTCGTTGCCCATCTTCAAGTTCCGCCTCCTGCGCGGGCCCTCTGCGGATAACTCTGGCCTTGATTAATTTATGATCCACACCGCCCAAACGACTATTTACGTTCCCTCTTCAGGAATGAGCCGGTCCTTTTCCCCTAATGACGTGGTTGGGAGCACCTCATTTACTTCTTTAATACCTCCTCCTGGTAAAAAATGACCCTATTTGCTGAATCAAAAATTGCGACACGTGATCTCAAAAAGAAGAAAGGCCACTTGGAAGCTGACCGTCCCGGCAGATGTGGAACGAGTGTGGAGCTCGGAGGCCCGCTGGACTTGCGCCGGGCGCTCCTGCCCCGCGGCCTCGGCTCGGTCCCCGGGCAGCTCCAGCGCCCAGTGGAGAATGAATGGGAGTGAGTAAATGAATGAATGGGAATGAGTGAATGAAAGAGGTCCGCGGGGAGTTTCTCGCGGGGGCGCGCCTCGGGCCCGTTGCCGAAGGCGGCAGCCTTCCAGGGCCTGGGCTTCAGCGAGCGTTCGGTGCCCGGCCGGCCGGACCGAGGTGCCCCGGAGCCGGTCCCGTCCCGCGCCCAGCTCCCCCGGGCCCGCGGTGGTACGCGCCACTCAGCGCTCCCGAAGCCCGCGGACGCCGGCAGTCTTGAATGGAAGGTGCCGAGGCCGGAAGTGGAAGGGACCACTCGGGAGGACGAGGAGGGGGTACGAGCGCTTCGCGTCTTCATTGAGGAACCGACGCGGTGAACATGGAATTCCATGTGCGTCTTATGTAAAGAGAGCGACGGGCGCTGCAGCCAATGGACACGCGGTGCTCGCAGGTCCGGCCCCCCCGGTATGCAGATGAGGCTGCGCTTCGGCCAATGGCGGCAGCCGGGGGCGGGCGCGGCGCGCGCAGTCACGTTTTCCACTATGTGACAGCGGCGGCGGCGCTGCGGGCTACGGGCGGCTGGCGGCGGCGGCGGCGGCGCCGTGGACCGACCGACTCGCGGACGGACGCGCGGACCGGAGGGGACGCGACTCGGTGAGGGCGCGGCGCGGCGCGGCGGGCGGGGCGGGCAGACGGGCCGGCGGGCGCCAGGCTGGGGCGCGGGCAGCGGTCCGGCAACCTGGCTGGCTGGTTACGTAACCGCCGGGCTCTTGGGCCCGGCGGTCTGGGGTCCGGCGGACGGGCTCCCGGCGGGCGGCGGCGGCTCCTGCAGCCCACGGAGGCGTGATCCCAGGGTTCTCTGCCACGTGACTCCTTCTCCGCTTAAAACCCGCCTGGGGGGCGGTGGGGTGAGTACTGTTATCCCCATTTTCCAGATGGAGAAACCGAGGTCCAGGGAGGTTAGGTAACTTGTGTAAGGTCATGGAGCGACTGGGTGACTGCCACACGGGGCTGTCCTTCTCTAGATGGTTTTCTTTGGGCCCCGGAGAGAGGGCCCAGGAAGGCTAAGGCAACTGAGGTTCAGTGCAGCTGTCCCAGGGAAGATGCAGGACCCCGGAGGGAGCCGGCTTCCTGCTCTGAGGCCAGAGAGCCAAGTCTCAGGCTGGGGAAGGGCCACTGATGGGCACTGGTCTAGGAGCGTTACCTGGACAGTCCTGTGGACTGGGTGAGCAGAGAGACAAGAAAGTTCCCGTTCCAAGCCAGGCCTAGAACCCTGTGGGCAGGGAGGTCCCACCCAAGGTTCACCCCCTCTGCCTCCCCTGGACCTCCCTGTATTTATTCCCTCACCCCACACTGAGTAGAAGGGGGTCCCACTTTGTGATGCAGTAATCACACCATCTTTTGAGGGTGTACCTTGGCTGCCAAGGCCCAGACATGGACCAGGGGCGGGTAGTGGCCTGCTTAAGTGCTCCAGGAAGGCCAGGTAAGGGATGAGAACCCGGTTGCCAGAGTTTCTGTAACCTACACAGAAGAAAGCAGTTTGGAAAGCTGATTCATACAACAGAGCCAGAAGGTACCCTGGAAATCACCCAAGGTAATACCTTGGCTTGACAGATTAGGAAACTGAGGCCCTGATACCTGCTGGGCACACACTATGGCAGGACCGGGCCCAGGCCCTGGTTGTCTCCAAGGTCCTTCCATCATCCCGTGGGTCTTGCTCTGGGTCAGGATGAGCTTCAGAGGTTCTGCGAAAGCCTGCACCTGGGTGCTGAATCTGAGTGGGCTAGAATTTGGGGAAGGAGCCCCAGGTCCCCCAAATGTCAAGAACCCCAGCACCATGGCAGAAGCTCCTCAATGAATCCTGCTCACCTCCTGTGTCTGACACTGGGGGCCACTGCCTCCTCCCTGGCTGCAAAGGGGAGACACCCCACCCTCTAGCCCCATTTGGGGTTTCTTCCCCGGGCTGGGTTTGGCTGAGAATGAACAGGGCTCTATCTGAGGGCTTTAATTGGAAATTTGAGTTCATACATACAAGGTTAATCACTTCTTGTAAGGTGTATGAGTAAAATGAGGAAAGGGGCTCCTCTTTTCTTAAGTGGAAGCTATGTGATATGCCAGCACCGGGATGGCACTGTGGGTGTCCACAGTTATCTGTCACCAGCATCTTGGTGTGATTCACTGGTACAGAACTAATGCAGCCTGGCTTTCTGTGGAGGCTGGGGTGCTGGGCAGAGAGGGGTGACTCAGCCACTGCTCTGGGCCTCAGTTTCCTCGTCTGCACGGCAGGGCTCAGATTGGGCAATCTCCTGGGCCTGTGTCCACGCCCAGGTTTTTGGATTCTGGTTACTCTATGGATGATTTCCTCAGGCCCCTGCGCAGGGGACAGAGGTGTCTGATGTGCCTTTAGATCACATAACGTTCCCCTGGGAGGTACGTCTGCCATGCTTCGAAGGAAGTAGGAAAGGTTCCCCTCATTTGCGCTGTTTCTCATGCACACACTCAACTTTCAGAAAAATACTGGTGGGCATGGCTCTTTTTTTAAATGGTGATGTAACTTCACCGGGCCTCAGCAACCACAGGCTCTGTCGGGTCACTGAGTGGCTGGCAGGACCTCTTGGCATTTAGTCAAAAGAAGAGAGGGACGCTGAAAACTGCCTTCTTGGGCAAAACTAAGAGGAGACACATAACCCTCCACAGTGCATCTGCTCTGCGCCCCCGCCACCCCCGCCCCCTGGGAAGCTGGCCCACCTGCAGACCCAGCAGAGAGTCAGGGGGTTCTGGGGACAGGAGCCTCTGCCCCCTGAGCTACGTTTTTAGCCTGTGGTTTGAACTCTCTAAGCCCCACGTCTGTAACAAGCTTGTTACTGTGCTTCCTAGTCTAGATGGAATCAGAAGCAATAGGTGAGCGGGCAGCAAGGACCGGTCACGGGCATTATCAGAGGCGGGCAGCGGTGGAGGGGGTGCCAGCCCTGAGTGGCCCTGCAGGCTCTGGGGGCTCCTGCTGGGCGACAGGGAACAGTGGGAACAGCTCAGGTGTTCACGGGCACCCAGAGTAGCTCCTTCCCTAGATACTGAAGCCAGGAAGCTGACGTTTTTGCCTTATCGCTGTTTGAAATCTCACGCTTATGCGTATTTGAGGCTTTGGAAACAGAGCGGAGAGAATCCAAAGGAGTCTTAGTGAGGCCGAGACATGCATCTCTCCTGCCTTCTCCCCTCCCATATTTGGATGGCGTTTTCCTCGGTTACCCAGCTGTTGCCATGGAGAGCGCGGGTGTTTATTTAGCAGGACAAACATTTTCTCCAGATTACAGCAGGCTGGCCTCAGGGAATTGGCTCCTACGAGGAAGGAGCAAACACGTTACAATATTTGGGGCTATAAAATACCATGGGGTCTGAGACACAGAGTCCAGACTATGGAGCCCTGTTCTGTAAAGTGTGAAAACAGACAGAATTCACCAGCCTGTCAGAAGTCAGGCTGGTGGTAACCCTGGGGGTGCATGATGGCTGGAGGGCCGCCAGCAGCCTCGGGGGGACTGGTAGGGTTCTGCCTCCAGAGCTGGGTGCTAGATACACCAGTGTACTCAGTTTGTGGACATAGATCGATTGAAGACTTCTCTGGATCTTATACTTCTGTTTCAAAAAATTGATCACCTCAAGCAACTGAACCACACATACACTGACTTCTGATTTCCACAAAGAAATGCGGTCACAGGCAATTGAGCGTGAGAAGCCCTCACCTGTCCTGGAGTCCTGGCGGTGGTAGTGTAGGGTGGAACTGAGGACCAGGCTGTGCTTTCATTCCCAGTGTTTTCCACTATTGATCACGGAAATTATGAATACATGAGAAAGTAGAGAGAGCATGGCATAATGAATCCTCATGAACTCATCAGCCGGCTTTAACGAGCTGGCTCTCGGCCCCGCTCCTTCCATGTCCCTTCCCACTTCCTCCCCTTCCCGTATCACTGGGAGGCCCACCCCAGACTATGATCTCATTGTGGACTGTACTTTCTAAATGTTCCTCTGTCCAGTCAAGGCAACCCTCACTGGTAAGGCGTGGTCACATGACCAGCAGCAGGGTCCAAGCTTAGCTCCTTCCCTTCATTCTGTGCATTCTCTGGGGCAGAGCCAGTGGGCGGACGTCCGCACAGGGGGCAGCAAGCGGAGTCTAGGGACAGGTGCACCCCAGCTTCCCCAGCAGCCCCCTTTTCAGCCTGGCTGTCCTTTCCTTTCTGGGGCCCCTGGCGCCCCAGACTATGAGCACCTCACCCCGGGGGTGGAAACAGGTTTGCCCAGGGATCCCCAGGGTCCTGGCAGTGCTGGCGCAAGCCGCTGCTCCGTAAACCTTTGTGGACGGCAGGAGGCAAAGCCTGCTTTGATGAGCAAGTTGGTTTTGTCAACTTGGCAAAATAAGGTCAGTCCATTGGAGCCAGTGGTGCTGAGCGATGCAGTTTCTGGAATGATGAAGTTTCAGGTGGTTTGGTTGGTTGGTTGTTTCACATTTCTGCCATGCTTGTCTGGCCCTCTTTGCAAAGATTTATCTTCTGCCTAAGGTAATCTTGTGACTTCTATTCAATGACTCCTACTCAGACTTGCTCCCAGAGTCTGGGAGGTGGCAAAGCCGGGAGTCCTCTGAGGAGCTGAGAGACAAGCCCCTGGGGTGTGCATGGAAGCAAAGTGTGTGATGCCTCCTCCCAGGAAATGTCTTTATTGCCTGAGTTGGGGGTGGCTAGCTGAGCTCCTTGTCCTTTAAATACAAGCCAGAGACAGCTCTGGTGGCAGTGAAATATCTTCTTTAAAAAAATTATTTTGTTACCCCATCTGTTTTCCTGTAGTGATTGGCAGTGATGATAAAAGCTAAGCCTTTGTTGGCCACAACTGCATTCCAGACACTTGGCACAGATTGTGTCACTGAACTCTCCCAGCAACCCCCGAGAGGCAGGGGTGCTGCCACCTGGCTACAAAGGAGGAAGCAAGGCACAGGAGGCTCAGGGACTTGCCTGAGATCACAGGGCCAGGAAGCAGGGGAACCCGCTGATGCCCTTACCACAGGGCGGCTCACGTAACCCCTCAGCCTTCACATCTGACTCACAGAGGCTGCTTGTCTGGGGAGGGCTGTGGGATGAGATGGATGGTGTGCAGGGTCCTGGGGAGGGAGAGAATGCCCTCACCCCCTCGGGGCAGCCCCTTGGCAACTGTCCTGAACTGGAGACCCCTGAGAGGTCTCCTTGCTTCCACCTTGTCTCCACCCCATAACCCTGTTAGAGTTTAAGTCAGATCTTGTTGCACAGAACTCAGTTTCCCATCTCACTCAGAATAAAGCCAGAGTCCTGGCTCTGCCCCGTGGGGTGCCCCATATCACCCCCCTCTGCCTTGCCCGCTCTGCTCCGGACTGCTCCGTCGTCCTCAAATGCCCCTGCCTCAGGACCGTTGTTCTTGCCCCCACCCCGGCCTAGAATATTCTTTGTCCAGCACCTTCCTGGCCCACACTCATTCTCTTCAGTCTGCCTTCACTTGGCTTCTCTTAAAAGCAGAATCTGGGCTGACACTTAGGGCTAGAATTTCACTGGGAGGTGCAGTCTCAGGCAGCAAGAGCGAGGGAATAGGCAAGTAGAGAAGGCTGGGATGCAGGCTGGTCTCTCAGCCCACGCGGCCTCATCAGAAAGGACGACGACAGAGAAGGAAGGATACGAAGAGCTTTGAACTCCATCCAAGGGAGGGCCGGAGGAGTGGCTTTACCTGCTGACCTGTCCCCTCTCCCATCCCCCACGGCCAGCGTTCACCCCGGGGGAGTGTGTTCCCCCTCCGGGCCAGTTGCTTCACTGGGCCCTTTGGCAGCAGCTGGGGAGGCAAGGGCCCACCCCCATCGTGTGGGGCTTCATCTAAGGCCATGCGTGGCCAGCACGGCCAGAGCCCCCCGGGCTGCCTCGGGCGTGAAGCCGTGAGGAGCAGGTGAGTGGATACCCAGCCGTGGCTGCAGGCCTGCGGGAGAATAAGGTCCAGGGGCTGTGACTCAGCACCACACTCGGGGGCTCAGGCACAAGGTCGGATGCTGCCGGTACGCTCGCCTTCTCTGGTGGCACTCTCGGCCTCTCCCGCGCAACACCGCCTCATCCCCTGCTCTGTTGCTTTCTCCGTAGCGCTTAGCATTCTTCTGCTGTCTGTGCCGTTCCCTTGTGGACGATCTGTTTTCCCCACTGCAACGTAAGCTCAGGAGGGCCGGAAGGATGTCCTTCCCGTTCTCTGACGTCCACCAGCCCGAAGCGCCATGTGCTGAAGGAGTGAGCTAATCAACGGAAGACAGTGTCCAGCCCTGCCTATGTGCTGTCTCTCCCACTGTTGTTGTTCTTTATTATTCTGTAACTTGTTCGTTTGTGTCCTAGAATCTCCTTCTATCGATGTGTCTTGTCTCCCTGTCTTTAGTAGGTACTTAGTATCCCCTAGCACAGATGTCCCAGGCTTTATGTTGTTAACCACACTGGGGTGCTGGGCTCTGGGGATGCAGCAGAGGACAACTAAAGCTCCAGCACATCAGGGTGGAGTCCAGCGGTCAGCACCATGGGGGACGGGAAGCCAGGCAGGGGGTGTCGGGGCAGGTAGGGGAGAAGTCAGTGCTGTTTGTGCAGGATGGACAAGCTGTCTGCGGGTTGAGTCCCGCGGGCACCAGGGAGCAGCAAGTGCAAAGTCCCTGGGGTTGGAGCTCAGTGTCAGGGCCGAGGAGGCAGGCCACAGCAGGAGATTCTCAGGAGGCAGCCGGGGAGGCCTTGTAGAGCTGCAGACCCTCGTACAGACCGGGGCTGTGTTCTGAGCCAGGGGGAGCAGAGGACTGGGGTGGGGCCAGGTGAGACACAACCCCCGTTTGGAAGTCGAGGCTGGCACTGGCCAGGGTGCCCATGGTGGATAGGGTGCCTGAGATGGGATGCCAGTAGCCTCCCTGCAGATGGTCCACTGGCAGTTCTGTCACTCCATACACCACGCTCATGGGTCTTTGTGCGCACGTACGGGCGTTCCTGGGGAGTGGAGGGGCCTCCTAGCAGGGCGAAGGGTGAAGCTTATAAATGGTCCTGAGCATGCCCAGAGTCCCGTCCAGAAAGACCGTTAGTGACCACAACACACAAAGTTCCCCACCTTGTGGACACTGGATGCCATCAGTCCTGTTAATTTTTGGTGACCTCATTCTTTGCGTTTTACTCACGAGTAATGAGGTGGAGCACCTCTCCAGGTTTATGGATCTCTGGTGTTTTCCTTTGTGGGAACAGCCCATTGTTAGTCTTTGGTCTCTTTCTTTCTAAAAGTGAGCCCTTTCCGTGCTCTCACTCAGTCAGCTAGAACATCCCTGAAATGTTAAAAAAAACAAACAAGCAATCCAACAAAATGAAGACTGGGGAGTAGACTTGCTTGTTTTGTTCCTGACTTTGGTCAGGTATTTTGCTGTCCTGGGGCTTTGGGTTCTCTGTGAGTCAGGACCCTGGTAACCTGCTGCTGTCTAAAGCCATGATGAGCAGGTGACAGCTGTGGAGACTGTCTTCTGCGTATCAACTCTGTGTACTGTATCTTCTGCTCAGGACTCAGTGACTTCCCATCCTTTGTAGGTAACCTGTTTGTTTTTCCTGTTTGGATGTGGGTAGAGTTTTTTTTCCCCTTGAAAATATCATTTTACATCGGGACATCTCTAGGCTTGGATTTTCACGTACCTTTGCGTGGTGTTCAAGGAGTCCTTCGACCGGCGGTTGCTAATCTGCCTTCGGCCGGGATGGTCTTCTTGGTGTGTATCTTTCATGAGAGTCTCTGTTTGACTGTTGTGGTGTCTCTTCCAGAAAGAGCTATTACCCGTGGGTAAAAACACGGCTCTGATGTTGTTGCTCTTTCCCTTGGTGCTTTTCAAAGTTCCTTGCGCTCATGCTCTGCATTTCTGAGGCCATCTTCTTCGTTTCCGACTCTGGACTTGGTCTTTCTGATTCTCTGCTCGAAGGTGGCATATTCGTCTCACTCTGTGGCTTCTGCTCATCCTTCATTACTTATTTCCTGGAATCCACCATTTCTCGATTTTTATTTGTGCTACAAGACTAAGTGCCGTCCTAAGTCTGCTGGTTCCCCATGCCATGCAGGCGCATCCCTCTGGTCTTTGCTGTGCATCTTTTCAGGGGACTCATGTTAGCTTTTTCCCTTTGGTTGGTTCATGAACAAGACAAGGCCTACTGAGACCTGTTGTTTTCCAGAGAGTAGTGTGGTTGGATTCTCCGGGGGTCCCCATCTTCAGGAGCAGGCAGGGGCGCGGGATCCAGGGCTGTCACCTGCCTTGTGTGGCCACTGACCTGTTTCCTCATCCACAGGCTAGAACAGACAACGGTATGCTATGTCTTATCCAGTGGTCAGTGATCACAGGGTTACGTGGAACAGTGAGTGCGTGTGGTTGTCACCGTCAACCAGGCGTCTGGTCTGTTTCTCAGAGCACGTGGAAGCTGTGGAGCACACTCTGCCCCTGGAGACCCAGCTCAGTCAGGGCACTGCTGCTGGGCCCTCCGATCTTCCATCCCCTGCTCAGTGCCCAAGGCTGGCTTTCTGGAACGGAGCCAGTGGGTCCCCTTGCTTTCTGGCTTCCTGACCACTGAGGTCAGGAGGAGAGAGAAGCCAAGGGTTTACACCCCCCCCAGCTCTGTTCCCCCAAATTGCAGGTTGTCTGGGTTCATTTGGTTTCAGTAACCCTTCTTCCTGCCCTCCAGGACCAGGGTAATAACAGCTTCCCCCCTCCTATACCTGCCTAGCTTCCAGGCTCAGACATCTTTTGCTTCGAGCTGGGACCCTGAGGAGACACCATCCTGGGTCCTCCTCTCCTGGGGACATCTCTCTCCCCATCCTTGGCTCCTGGGTAAACCCCTCCCACCTTGCATACTCCCTGTCTGCTTGTCCCCATGGTTGTCTCCCGGAATTACTGCAGAAGCCTTGGGGCTGGTCTGGCTCTGACTTCAGCCCCTCTCCACCCTCTTGCCCCTAAACGCCAAAGTTAAAGTTTCTATGTAGCACAGTGGTGAGGACCTGTCCAGATGCAACCAAGTTCGTTCATCTGGTACTGGCCTGGTGCTGCCCCCACCCCCGCTCCCCACTAGCACACCCCCCCTCCCGTGCTGCTGTCAGGGCTCCCACCCACTCGGCCCTCTTCATAGGGCAATGCCTGCTTCACAGCCTCCTCTCTCCCTGAAGTCTCCCCTGCCCACAGCCTGGTCTTGGGGTTCCCCCTGCATACAGCCTGCGCTTGGGGTCTCCTGCAGCTCGTGATGGCCCAGACTTCTTGGGGAGAAGACCTCCCCATCATCACCTGGGGAGATTTGTAAAATGCAGGTTCCTAGGCCCTGCCAGCCATTCAGTGGGAATCTGCGTTTTCCCCAAGGCTCCCCACGTGCTGGGAGGTGCTCACTGATGCTCTTGTCACCTCCGACCAGGCCATCAGCGGTTTGATGCCTGGGGGCTGTGGCCACGGGATTCATCTGCCTTCCTAATTCATGGCAGCTAAGAGCTCATGAGGAGGAACAAAGAATACCATGATTGGCCCTGACTGGTACAGACCCTGACGTGGAAACAGGTTCCAGCACACATTCCATGCGGTGGCTGTGGGACCCCCTGCACTCGCCAAGGCCTGACGACACTTGTCTCTCTTTCCCAGCTTCGTTGTGGAGCCAACATGAACAGATATGCCAAGTACCCGCCCAGCCGCGGTCACCCCACCCAGGAGCCCGAGGAGCCCCGGGGAGCCCCACTCCAGGAAGATGTGCACATGAGCAGCGGCTCTAGCGGAAATGAAACCAACGAGAACCGCTCCCCGGGGCCGGACTCGCGGGGCGGCGAGCAGCTGGGGATGCTGGTGGGGCCGCCCGTCGTCCCTCCGGGGTAGGTGGGGCCCTCGGAACGCTGAGGCCGGCCGCTCGTCTGTTTTCTCAGCATCTCATCCTGTTGTTTGATAGCTTTTGCGGTCTTTAAATCATGATTCCCCTGTTTTTCAACACTTAAAAAAAATCTCATTAACTGAGAACTAAAATTTACTATAATGATGCTGCTGTTGACGTTGACTCTCTGATTTTGCCGATAGATAGATACCGAGTGAGTATAGCAAGATCTCGGGAGCAGACAAGCCTGTGGCCCTGCTAGCAGCCGGGGTCTATAGAAAATGAACCTGCTCTGTCAGTCCTTCTCCCGGTACCTAAAACTTGAAAGTTTTATGCTCCGGCTTTATCTTAACCTTGTATTTTTCGTAATTGTCTTACTACGTGTGGGATAATCTGGATTGTTGTCCCTGGTTGGATGAGGGGATGGTTGGAGCATGCAGTCCTCTGAGTCTGGCCTTTATTTCTCGTGCTCACAGTCCCGATGCCTTTGGCCTCATGATGGCCAAGTCCAAACACAGCACGTCTGCAAGCGGCTGCAGGTAAGGCCAGTCACATGTCCCTTGACTTACGGCCTCAGAGAAATGGAGATTTGTTACTAGAGGTTAGTGTCGGGGTAATGTGACGTTTTGCAAGCCTCCGCTAGAACCTGTTGGTCTGTGCAGCTGTCTTGGTTGTGAGCCGGCCGTGCCCTCTCAGACACCAGCTGCTCAGGGCCCCTTACGATGCCGGGATCTGGAGCCCCTCCAGCCCCGTCTGCACAGGTCTTGTCTGCATCCTAGACATGTTCTTTTTTTTTTTTTTTTTTAAAGATTTTATTTATTTATTTGACAGAGAGATAGAGAGCACAAGTAGGCAGAGTGGCAGGCAGAGGGAGAGGGAGAAGCAGGCTCTCTGCTGAGCAGGGAGCCGGACATGGGGCTCGATCCCAGGACCCTGGGATCATGACCTGAGCCGAAGGCAGCCGCTTAACCGACTGAGCCACCCAGGCGCCCTCCTAGACATGTTCATCTGGAACATTCCTCCCCCTTTTTAGGTGTTGGTAACAAAGGTATCCTTAATTTCACGTCCACAGACATTTTCTCTCTCTCTCTTTTTTTTAAAAGGTTTTATTTATTTGCGAGGGAGAGAGAGAGCATGAGCAGGGGGAGGGCCAGAGGCAGAGGGAGAAGCAGGCTCCCAGGGAGCCTGACTTGGGGCTGGATTCCAGGACCCCGGGATCATGACCTGAGCCAAAGCAGATGCTTAACCGACTAAGGCACGCAGGCGCCCCCCACAGACATTTTCGTATCACTACAGGGGCAAACTCCAGCTCTGAGGCCTGGGTGCGTGGGCACCTGGCTGTCTCATCCTGACACCTGATTTCTAGCATTCTTTCTGCACCCTCTGCTCTAAACAGGAAGGGCCCACCTGTTTTGTCTTCTTCCCATCTCTGTACCCTTAAGTAGAGAGGTCCTTCTTATAAGTCTTTCCTGTCTGAGGTCTTGCTGTGTTCCTCATTCGCGTTCCTGCCACAGGAAACCAGTTTGCTGTCCTCTGTCATTTCCATCACTCGATCCTTTTCTGTCTGACACAGGGCAGGAAGGCACAGTCCTAAGGGGCAAAGCCCAGCTCCAGCCTGGGGGTGCAGAGAGCCCAGGGGAGGGACTTCTGCAGCCCTCAGCTGGGCGAGCGCAGTGGTTCTCAGCTGGAGCATTCCGTCTCCCCACAGGAGATGTGTAGCAGCATCAGGAGACATCTTTGGTTGCCACACTTGGCGAGGGTGCTTCTGGCCTCTGGTGGGGAGAAGGCCAAGGACGCTACACGTCCCGCAGTGCTCCACAGAGAACCACACAGACCGAGACATCCTAGTGGCCTGGTTGAGAAGCAGGACTGGAGGCGCAGGAAGGCAGAGTCAGGAAGCTAACGTGTGATCGCCTCTTTCTTTAATGCTCTAACAGTGAGTGGTCCACCAAGGCAGATGCGCACAAGGAGCTGATAAAAACACTGAAGGAGCTGAAGGTCCACCTGCCAGTAGACAAGAAGGCCAAGGGGAAAGCCAGCATGCTGGCCACCTTGAAGTACGCGCTAAGGAGTGTGAAGCAGGTGAAAGGTACGTCAGCCTATGTATTTGTTCCGAACTTGTAGAAATAACTTGGATTATGTCAACTTTCTAAAACCCAACCCAGAAATTGCAGAAGGAAATTCTAGAAGGCTTAATTCTTTACAGCTTTTCTATTGTACTTGACTTCTGGAGAAAAAAAAAAAAAGAAACAGGTAGAAAACCAGCTGATAAAAAGGAATGTATTTATGGCGTAAAGGTTTTGTGCTCTGGGCTGGGGTCAGGTCATGGTCAGGGGAGCCCAGCATCCTCCAGGCTCAGGCCGGAGTTGAGCTGGAGTTCACTGAAATGTGTGAGCAGCTCGGCACGGAATTTAAGCAAAACATCCCGCAGTGTTGAGCTGAGGGCTGGTCGCTCCTTTGAAAAATAACAAGAGGAGATACCAAGGAGGCTGTTGCCAGATCTTATCCTTCCTTACAGGACAATACTTTAGCGCTCCTACATTTAAGACCTTGGGCAGTCTGTTTCTTGTTTGTCTAGAAAGGCGTGAATTTCCATCGAGGTTTTCTTCCAATCAGGAAGCCATGCAGAGCGCCTTCTTCCATCACTGGTGCACAGTTGCAAGACCTCCACGAGCCACATTCCGTTCCCGTTTGTGGGCATGCTTGGACCCTATTATTAGGTGACAGAATATGTAAGAGCTTTTAGGACTGTCCGTGTTCTAGACTAAGGCTTTCACCTGAGAACACGTGTGCAAAAGTCTTCGTAGATGCAGTGCAGAAATCTATGAACAAACGCTGCAGTGTCCAACGTATTTGCATCATCAAGCTCAGACGCTTGACATTTCAATAAACTCCAAGCCCCTTAAATAATTTCCAACAGCACCGAGTCTTCCTTCACTTGCTGCTGCAGCTGGACCCCCGCTGAGCAGGTGCTCTGTGCCCCCCCTCCCTATCTCCTGGGTTTCAGGTAACTGCAGGTGCCTCTGACTCTAGGACAGGTGGGAACACACTGCCGTGGAGGTGGTACCAGCATTTCTAGTGAACCAAGAACTTGACTCCTGGGTGAATTCTTCTGCAGACACCCATCCCTGGGGGCTTGGGTCGTGACCCCTGCATTTGGGATGCTTTAGCTCTAGGCGGTCAGAAAGTTCCGTGCAGCCTTGCCTTTCGGTCTGTTGCTGGGAATGGGGATGTGAGCTTTGAGAGTTTTTAAGTTTCCTCCAGTGTGTCAGAGAAAGCAGCAGGAAGCTTGGAGGGAGTATCCCCATGTGCATTCCTGATCTTACAGCCGCAAACACTCAGGTGAATCCTTTCTCATTACACGGGAAGGAGTGTAATGAGTCCACCCCCTCCTGCACTTTGAGGAATTTCTTAGCTGTTTCGGTCCCTTCTGACCAGCAAGCAGAGACAGAAGCCAGGCCAGCATCTCATTAGGACAGACGAGGGAGCTGTCCTTTCCCAGCAGGTGTGGGAACCCCACCCCTGCTCTACCTGCTTTACCAGGGGGTATGCGTTACACGCACGCTGAGGTCCCAGTGGACTCCACACACTGGAAACATGGGTAAAGGCAGGGAAGTTATGAAGGCTGAGATAAAGGTCAAACAGTGGGCTTTGTTCTGGGATCATCAGTTACTCTCAAGCTTACCAGCAGGGCAGGGCTTCTCGCTAATGATGATGGATACGAAGCCATATTTCAAATAGTCTTCGTATCTTCTAATGTTTGGGCAACGTTTGTCAGAAGGGCGACTTTGCCTGCCTGGTGTATTCTGGTGGGGAGAGCTTGTGCCAAGCATGGAGGGCTGGGCTCTGCTGTGTGCTGGCGTGCAGTGGCCTTCTGGGTGCCCTCTGCAGCCCCAAGTTTCTCTGCAGGCTCTTGTTTAAGGCTGTATCTGTTTGGTGAGGGTTAATACAGTAAAAACAGACACCGTGCCCGGCCAGCCCACCCAAGGATGCTCACAAACTGCAGGGGGAGGAGGTTCTCTGAGGGACAGGTCTGCCAGCACCCCTCCCTGGGGACTGCCTTGGGTGCTGGGTCGGCAGCCCCATGATAGTGTGCCCTCAAAAGCTATATCCAGGGATGAGGGGCACTGGTCGCAGGCTCTGTTGGGAGCAGTCTGCTGCAGTGTGGTTTCTCGCGCCTTGTGTTTTTGAGCAGGGGATTCTGTGTGGATGGGAGTGTCTGCCACACCGCCGAGGAGCAGGTTTCCCAAGAGGAAACGTCAGCGTTGTGTCGTGATTAAAGACCTTGTGGGCAAAGTGAGGGTTAGGTGGAACTGTGTGCCCATATTATTTAAAATAATGTGCACTTGCCATTTAAAAAAGTTCTGTAATCAAAGGTCTTCGGATTTTTCAGGAAAACTAAAACAGATTTCTGTTTGCTTTGCCTTCACATTTCTCTGTTCCGTTCTCTGGGCGTCGCAGGAGGACAGTGTGCATAGCCCCCTTTCTCATGAGAAGAGTAGCGCCCCCAGCACAGGGAGGCGGGGCCGTTCTCACGCGCTGCCTTGGTCTCTCCTGCAGCCAACGAGGAGTATTACCAGCTGCTCATGCCCAGTGAGAGCCACCCCTGCAGAGCCGCTGTGCCCTCCTACACCACAGAAGAGATTGAGAGGATCACGTCCGAGCTCATTGTGAAGAACGCAGTGAGTGTCCGACACGAGCGACCTCTTCCCCCAGAAAGCTCACCTTCAGCCGGTGGCTTTATAGCAACAGAGTTCGGAACTTCTGGAAATAAGCTCCCACCTTAAAACAACAGCGTCAAGTCTGTGATTCACATGGAGCAGTTGTGCGGCAGACTCCTGCTGTTTTCCATGAGACTTCCTTCTCTCATGGCCGATCCACCCCCGGACTTTGCATGTGTAGGAGCGAGCCTCACCTTGACCGAGCAGTGACCAGGGGACCTTAGGCTCACTTTGGGGGGGAGGCTGGGATTTGAACTCAACTCATGAAGACGCCAAAGCTTGTGCATTTTTAAGTACCCCATAAGGGTGGGGCACCCTTGGAGTTCTAGGGGAAGGGAAGCGAGTTGTCCCTTCCCCTGTGCTCCTACTTCTCAGAGAGCACAGGGCAGGTGGGGACCCAGACCTACTGGAATCGTGGCAAAACTGATCTGGAGAGTGGGGCTCCCTGATCCCCTCCCATCTCCTTCCTCCAGCACCCCCGCTGCAGCTGAACCCCCTGGGAGCTCTGGGCCAGGGCTCAGGCCACTAGCCAGCAGGGCAGGACCCGGGTGGCAGCCCCCCCACCTCCACCCCCGCCCCGCGCACCCTGGGAGAGAGGTTTGTGGCTGCCGGCCCGGGTGAGGGGCGGGGGCTGGAGGAGGGGGCCCAGAGGCCTCCCCCAAAATCTGTGCCCCTCAGGGAGGGGCAGGCTGTCCTCACGCGGCTGCTGCTTCCTTCCAGGGTATGTTTGCGGCCGCCGTGTCCCTGGTCACCGGGAAAATCCTGTACATCTCTGACCAAGTTGCCTCCGTGTTTCACTGTAAAAGGGATGTCTTCTATGGCGCCAGGTTCGTGGAGTTCCTGGCGCCCCACGACGTCCGCGTGTTCCACGCCTCCACCACGCCTTACAGGCTCCCGCCCTGGAGCGCGTGCGGCGGAGCAGGTGAGGGCCTGGGGCCGTGGCCGAGCACGGCTGCCTGCCTTGTGGGCCCGCGGCATGGGGAACGTGGGGGCTGCTGCCTTCCCGGGGCGGGGGCGGGGCTGGGCTGGCCCGGTGCAGGGGCGCCCCTGCCCCTCGGCTGTCCCAGCCCAGAGCTGGAAAGCTGCTTGTTCAGGATAAACTGAGAAGAGTAGTCTTTTCACAAATTCCGGAGAGGGAAACCCGTTTCAGAAGACTTTAAGAAACGTTAGGCGTCTTAGAAACGAGGCTGTTGTGAGACGCTGGCGTTGGGCGTGAGCCCGCGGAGCGCGGGGGCGGCGGGCGGACGGAGGCCAGGCCCTGCTTCCTCTGCGCTGACGTCGGGGTGACCGGGAGAGCGCTCCTCCCCCCGGCCAGGCGCAGCTCGGTGCAGGTGGACGGCTAGGTGCTCAAACCAGCAGCTTTCCAGGCGCGTCAGGTTCCTGTCTGCGCGGCGGCCGCTGCTTCGGGGCCGCGGGGCGTGCAGTGTGTCCACTGCGAGCTCCGCCTCGCGGCCGGCTCCTGGGCCCGGCCGGCCTGCCCTGCTGCAGCAGCTGGCCTCTTGCGGTTCTCCGCAGCATGTCCTCGACCCCTCCACCCCCATGACCGGGAGACCTGGGGTCCGGAAGGCTGGAAGCTCTTACGTGGCCAGTGCAGGCCTTGCCCATAAGTGGGTGCAGGAGGGATGGTTGATCAGATGAGTCTCAGCAGAAACGTGGCACAGGATCCTGGCGGAAGGTACCAGACCAGCTCAGGCCTTCCCTGCAGCCACCCCCCCACCCCCGCCCCGCGCTTTCAGTGAGCAGGGAGGCCAGCGGAAGCCCGCTCCTGACCTGTGAGTCTGGCAGCGTCTGTCTGCCTGCCCCTCACTGGGCTCTGGTCACTCGGAGCTGAAGGTGAACGAGTGAGCAGAAACGCTCAGCAGCCAGGAGAGGTGACGGGAAACAGTGGGCCTGGGAGTCACCCCAGACAGGCGTGACCTCAGTCATGAGGCCACATCACCCAGAACTAGTCCCTGTTTTGCCCTTGGCTCAGGGGTCCGCATCTCTGCTCGCATCAGATGCACCTCACCCCCGCTCCCACCGCCTCCTGGATGGTGGGTCCCTCTCCGCCGCGGGCTCCTCACATCCTCCTGCTCGCAGTCGGCAGCCGGCTGGGCCACCACTCAGCCACCGCCCACCGCCACCACCACCGTTCCCTGACTGTAGCTTCCTGACGGCAAACAGCCTGGGCGTTTGCTTTAGGGCTGACTCACAAAAAGAGATGCTCGCTTTTGGTTTTGGATGTAGAGCCGCCCGCCTTCTCCCAGAATTCCTAGCCAAGGACTGTCCACAGTCAGGTCACTAAAGCTTGCAGTGCATGTCACGAGAACCCGTAGGTCACTGCGTGGAAGGGACGTCACTCCGCACGTGGGTTTACAGCACGGACAGGCCAGCACCGTCTGCCTGGGATGGTTGCCACTGAATTTTTGTCTGAATGAAAAAGAAGGACCAGGTGACTTCTTCGGGGCCTTTCCAGGCCGGCAATTTTATACCATTTTCCCTAACTAGTGATTTCCTACTTCTCTTCCTTCTTTTGAATAGAGGAAACTTTATGTGAAAAATCAACGTCTAAGATTTCTTCTTAAAAAAATCCTATATTGTGAAAACACCATTTCCTCATCTCTGATGATGCCTCCCGAGTGACATCGTACTTTTGCTAGGTGTTTCAGATTTCTAAGTAGGTTAATATTTTAGCAAAAAGTTTGATGTAAGCTTTGAAATTACCTGAACTGCTTCTATTAGCACTGAATATCCCCCAAAATACATAGGTTGAAATGTTTAGGGCTTTACATGCAAAAATTCTGCCCAGCAGTACGTCTCCCAGAGTTAAATTGTTAATTAGTTGGTGTGTTTGTGGCGGCCTGTGAACTATTTCAAAACTGGTAAACTTCTGGCACTAAGCTTTCCGTAATTTGGTACGTGCTGCATTCATGAAATAGGCTTGATTTTAGTCAGAACTGTAATAAATGCTAAGGGCTTTGCTTTGTGTTTGCGTAAATATGCATTCATGCCCTGACTCTGGATTCTGCTGCTTCTCTGTAGCTTGGGGGAAATAGAGTGCGCTCTGTACTGTGTTGTGCACTCGGATGGCTGACTTTGGGCTCTCTCTCTTAGATTCGTTTACTCAAGAATGCATGGAGGAGAAATCTTTCTTCTGCCGCGTGAGGTAAGCCTGGGACAGGCACAAACATTTTCTCCTGAGCACCTCTTGTGAGGGTGAGGAGATGTAGGAGTGGCCCCCCCCGACCAGTTCCTTCTGGGCTGTGACCCCCTGTGCCCCTCTGCACCTCTGCTCTTCAGGGTAGAGGCTCTGCAGGAGCACCCCCTACCACACAGTGGGCATATTCCTAAAAAGTCTGTGTGAAAACACCATTTCCATAAGCTGATTTAAAATGTGCACAAGGCCTTAAGACAGCCTGGTCAGCAGTGGGGTGATTTCACTGCTCCTCAAGAAGAGCCTGGGGAGCCTAGACTTGGTGTCTGTCACCCAGGAAGCTGCCCGAGGGCCACTCCCTGGGAAGGCATCTCCCCCAGGGAGGACCCAAAAGGCACATGCAGCTTTGTTCAAGTGTGCATTTTCCCAGGGAGAGCCCACAGCTTCCCCAGCAGCGGGCTTTTTGCCCGAAACAAGGTGACTGAGCGTCCAGCTGCAGGGTCAGGAGTGACCCCTGGCCAGGTCCTGGCGCTCTCAGAAGCTGGGGCCTCACCGGTGAAGCAATGTCCTTTTCCCGATTGAAATGCTCTAGAGAAGGGCTCCTGGAAGACCTCCCACTGCCCAAGGCTGTTCACTCTTTGGTCTGCCCTGAATGCCGTGGCGATCTGAGTGACCAGGGCGGAAGCCCGGATCGCAGGCCCAGGCCAGCACACCCAGCTTGGTCCGGGTCCCCGAGCGAGGAGCCTGGCTTTGTGTCGCAGGCCTCTGTACTGCTTTGGGAACAGCCACTACTGAGGGAGAGGTGACTAGCAAAAAAGGACAGTTCCTCTGTCATAGTTGCAAACCTCTGACGGGCCCTCCTCCGCAGTGTTGGGAACAAGCACGAGAGCGAGATTCACTACCGCCCGTTCCGCATGACGCCGTACCTGGTCAAGGTGCAGGACCCGCAGGGAGCCGGGGGCCAGCTATGCTGCGTGCTGCTGGCCGAGAGAGTGCACTCGGGCTACGAAGGTAACTGCCCGCCCAGGTGGGCACAGGCTCCATCTGGCCCCTCGGTGACGCCCCTGCTTCACACCTCATGTCAGTAAGGCTGCCAGCCCTGGCCTCAGCCCCCAGCCTCGGCCAGAGTCTCCGTCTCCCTCTAGACGCCCACCGACCTCTGTCACCTGGCCCTCCCCACAGCCGCTGCCAAACCACCTCCCCGCGTCTGTTGCTGGCATCTCCCACCCGTGACCAGCCCGTTGCCATGACCTGGGTGCCCTGCCCCCTTCCCCAGCCACTGCTTCCCATCTGTTGGTGGGAATGGCCCTCACCACCAGGTCCCCAAGCCCCTCCCACCCCCATGCACCCCCATGCCTGGAAGAGTGCAGGGGCACCCCCACCTGCTCAGAACCCAAACCATGCCCCTCCCGCCCCACCTCGGCCCATCGACCTTCCACTGCTTTCCCCGTCCTCTCCACACGCACTGGCTCCCGCCGGCAGGCTGGCCACCCGACTCCCAGTCTTCGCTCCTGCTCGCTCCTCCCCTCCTCTGTGTGTAGAAAGCCGGTCATCCCAGCAGGTTCATCCCACCATGTGTCCGTCCCCGGTCCTACCAGCTTCTCAGGCCACCCCCTCCCAAAAACCCCACCAAATCTGGACTTTCCCTGAAGCCCAAGGAGCCCCAAGGCGCTCAGCCACCCTGATTCTGTCCTTCTGGCGACCCCTCCCACTGAATGGCACTGTGACATGGTCCTCCTGCGGTACCGGCCACTGTACCTGGCATGGAACCTTCCTCATCCTGGCAACTCGACCACGCTGACTTCAGAATTCTCAGAGGGCAGGCACTATCTGTAGCTACTGAACCACAGGGACCCAGTTCTGTCCATGTTTCATTGTATTCCTAACCTTGTCTCAGTGGTTAACGAGGTCATTTCTTAAAACTGATGGAAATTTTTGGTGAGTTCGTTCATATAGCATATTCTCTTCCAAATATTCAATAAAGATTTAGAGGGGTTACTTAGATTTCAACAAGTTACTCCTCAGTATGATCTGAGTCTCCTTCAAGGACGTAGCTTTGGAATTTTGAGTGTTTTGTCCATGAATTTGGTGGTTGAGGGAAATTCTGGGTAGATGATTTCCTTAATGCAAATTACTCTACCACCTTTGCCCACCCTAGAAACTGTGAAGTCCCAGTGCAATGACATTTGCTGAGAATTTTGAATCTAAATACTTAACTCATTTTTTAAAAACAATTTGTTCAGCTCACTCTCGTTGGATCTTAAAAAAATCATGAAGTTGGCCTTCCAGCATGATTTTGCTGAGAGAAGCTTATGCATCACCACACAGTTCTGTGAATGTGGCAATTCTCAGCTTTCTAGACCAAACCCACCCAGAAGGAAGTTGAGAAGGCTGGCTGGCGGTCATCCAGCGCGTAGGGTCTGCTTCCCGTGCAGTGGGCTCTGTTGTAAAGGGTCCACTTGTTAATTTTCTTCCTTCACTGCCCACATCCATCTGAATCTACGTGGTATTTTCTAGTAGCTGTAATAGAACTGTGCTAAGTGTGCATTTCTTAGAATCAGAAACTTGTATAAAATTCTATTCTTTCAGCCCCTAGAATTCCTCCTGAAAAGAGAATTTTTACGACCACACATACACCAAATTGTCTGTTCCAGGACGTGGACGAACGGTAAGCACGCTGTGGCGCTGGCCCGTCCGCCGGCCCCCACTCTTGCATGGGGCTTGTCTTGGAGTCAGTACCGTAACCTTCGTTTCAGCAGACTCAGTCACATGCTGCTTAGCGTTTCATCATGATCTTAGTGGTTACTTGGTGGCCATTAAGTAAAGCTCCATGAATGTTTGTGATTTTGACATTGAAGCTACGCAGCTAAAGTGAAGCCTGTGCGTTGGTTTTACTTAGGTGATAATCCACAACAATGTTGAACTGTAGGCAATGAAATAATTCTGGAATTGCACTAAAAATCTCCTGAGATGTGAATGTTGTATAAATGGGGCATTCTGGGGAGCTGGTAATTGTTCTCATTGAGTCTGTCTGTATTATCCTATTGAAACCCATTTCAAAATCGCACATGAGCAAAGGATGGTACAGCCAGGGACAGTGTGCTTGGGACAGTTAGGACTGAAGCTGGAGACGCCATTGGCAGGATCCCAGCAGAGATGTGTCTGCCGGCCTGTGTACTACAGACTGCTCCCAGGGCTGGGGGCGGGGGTCACCTTGTTCCTGCCCAGAGCGTCGCTCAGTCTCCTGCCCAAGGCGCTCTAGCTGGTGCAGATGGTGCTTGCTGGAGTTGGGAGCACTGCCGTCCTGAGAGCATTCTGGGTTGGCCGGCTTTGGGCCAAGTCCCGTGGAGCACCTTCCCCCAGCTCCCCCAGCATGCAACAGGAAATGCTGCTGGCTGTGGGCAGGGGTGGGGAAGAGCTTTCCTCAGAAGAACCACTGGAAGTGGACCTAGACGTACTAGCACTCTGGCCTTTCTCAGATGGGCCAGGGTGGCCTCCACAGATACTATCGAGGATCCAGTCCACCCCACTGCCTACACCTGGCCCGGGGCCACCAGGTACCCACCCTGGACACAGGCCACGGAGCTTCCTGGGAAAGAGTTGCTCCCAGGCAGCCAGGGAAGCATCAGCCTCCTGCTCCGGCTGCTCAGGGGTGTTCCGCTCACCACCTGTGGCAGAACCGCCAGAGATGGGGTTTCAAGGTGCAGGTTCCTGGGCCCCACCCAGCCCTCTCCAGCAGGGTCTTGGAGGGTGGGCCCGGGGAGCTGCATCCTTTTTTTTTTTTTTTTTTAAGATTTTATTTATTTATTTGACGGAGAGAGAGAGCGAGAGAGGGAACACAAGCAGGGGGAGTGGGAGAGGGAGAAGCAGGCTCCCCACGGAGCAGGGAGCACGACACGGGGCTCGATCCCAGGACCCTGGGACCATGACCTGAGCTGAAGGCAGATGCTTAAGGACTGAGCCACCCAGGCGCCCCAGGGGAGCTGCATTCTTAAAGCAAACCCAGGGTAATTTTTTATTCCTCCACAAGTCTGAGAATGCCTGCCTGCAAGCCACCACAGACGTCACTTGTGTTCAGGAGTTAGTGAGCCGGCACACGTGGTGTGGGGCCCACGGTCTGCACCGCCTTCCTTAGTGAAGCCCTGTTGGTGGCCCAGCCCACGGAGCACAGGACAGCTGGGCAGGTGGCCAGGACTCCTTCCTCCCCTCTCCCTCCCTTCCTCCTCCCCTCCCCTCCGCACCTTCCCTTCCTCTCTCCCTCTTCCCCCTCCTCCCCCCCCACCCTTGCCAAGCCTGGACCTGAAAGGGCGCCCAGAACATTTCGTACGTCCTGTCAAAGGAAAACACGGGCCTGGAGAGAGTGTATTTTGGACCAGGAAGAAAAAATCAAATAATAACACTGGGCCCACGAGAAAGTTCCATTCTACTGGGAACGAGCAAGCTTTGCTCTAGAGACTTGGAGAATGTCCTTGCACTTGAGCAGAAGAGTTTGAGGGAGCATCAGTTCAGATGCAGGAAGACTGGCCACCAGGGGGAGGCTGAGACGCAGCTCAGAGGAGGAACAGTGGCTGAGTGGGCAGAGGACACCTGACACAGAGGCAGAAGGGGCACCCAAAAGTTCACCCCCAAACCTTCTCCCAGCAGCTGCAGGAGAAGAGCAAAGGCACCCAGCCTGCATTGACCCCGCGGGACTAGACCCAGTGGCCAAAGTAATAGGAGAAGGGAACCCTCTGCAACTAGAAAGGAGGCACACAGAGTTTTCCAGAATCCAGGCAACACTTAAAAAAAAAAAAAAAAAAAAAAAACCATGCCAGCCACATCCGGCCGAACTTACAAATAACACGAAGAAAGAAAAGATCTGAAAAGAGGAGCAGCAAAAACATGATCATGACTTATTCCTTCAGGAGCTAAGCCCCAAGCCTGTACTGGGCCGGGCCTGATAGGGCCTAGTTTTCTATCACAGACCCATGGGGGGACTTTCGTTTGCTAATTAATTGAAAGACTGTTCTGTTAGCCTAATTCCCAAACCTTGATCTTTGGAGAATTTGGAGTCTGTCTCTTTTTCCCAATGAGCAAGAGGTTCTTGGAGATGGTCTGCTGCCCAGCCTGGAGGAGGCAGTGTTCTGGAGTGTGTCCTGAAGGGCAGCCATGGGGCTGAGGCTGGGCAGGAGCTGCAGCTGAGTACCTGTGTGTGTGCTTGCCTTGCAGGGCGGTCCCCCTCCTGGGCTACCTACCTCAGGACCTGATCGAGACCCCCATGCTCGTGCAGCTTCACCCCAGTGACAGGCCTTTGATGCTCACCATCCACAAAAAGAGTAGGTCCCCTTTTCATGGTAAATACTGAGGTCAGCACCCAATGTAGACAGGTCAAATCGGTTACCAGCATGTGGGGATGGGTGCCCTGGCTCTGTGCCTGAGCCCTAGCTCCATCAGTCAAGAGTAGTCATCTCCTGTGGGTCCCTTTGTGGGACCTGAATCTTTGGCACCCTGCTTTTACTGTTGGCTTCCCTGGCAGGTGGGGAGGGGTTCAGCTGTGGCAGCCGAGGTGCTGACCAGGCCAGGGGAGTGGATGACCCATGTCCCCACCAAGCCCAGGCCTCGCAGACACAGGGGACACTGAGCATCCCCTGGAGAAGACCAGTCAAGGCTAACAGAGATGTGTGTCCTGAAATATGTGGTGGCACTTCTGGAAACAGCCCACTGTTGCAATTTAAAGCAAAGCAGGGGGTTGAAAGCCATAGTGTTGGGGAGGTTGGCATCTCTGAAAGTTCTGAGCTGATTCCAGAATGGAGTGCACCTCGGCTCTCCTCTTGCCAAGAGCACCAGCCACTTGTGCTCATGCCCACGTGGCTCCCACTCTCGCAGTTGTGCAGTCCGGCGGGCAGCCTTTCAACTATTCTCCTATTCGGTTCCGTGCACGGAATGGCGAGTACGTCACTCTGGACACCAGCTGGTCCAGCTTCATCAACCCGTGGAGCAGAAAGATCTCCTTCATCATCGGCAGACACAGAGTCAGGGTGTGAGTGCTCCCAGTGCCCGGCACAGCTCGGGGACCCTTGCTTCCCCACCAGCAGGTGGCATGGAGCAGGACAGGGTGACCCGGACCCAAGCCAGCTCATGCCGCATACCTGTACCCCCAGGTGGGAGGGACCTCATGCAGCAGAGCAGTGAGGGGAAGGGAGGAGATAGTGAGTGGGCAGGTAGCAGCCCAGGGGTCTGCAGGGAGGAGGCAAGCCTGGCCAGGCTGTGCAGCATGGGGCCCAACTAACAGACCAGTTAAAACCACGCAGGGGCCCTTTGAATGAGGACGTGTTCTCGGCTCAGTCGCCTGTGGAGGAGAAGGACCTGCACCCCAGCATTCAGGGGCTCACGGAGCAGATCCACCGGCTGCTGCTACAGGTGGGTATACACTGTCTACACGCCCCCTGCCCCCCCTCATGTAAGTGGCCCGGAGCTGCCCAGAGAGCCGGGGGGGCCAGCTCCGTCCAGCTCCACTCCGCACCCCTGGTGCCCGTGGCCTGGGCCCGGACAGTCGGGCACACCTGCGGCTTGCACAGTTGGGGGCAGTGCCCCCCTTGCATATTTGGGGTGCCTGTGTCTGAATTGTAGTCCTGAGCAAGTGACTGAAAGCCACACCCAGCCCCCGAGTCCACCCCCGAGGCCCTGCTTCCAGCCCACTCGTGGCCCCCACAGGTGCGCTGGGTGGGAGGGGGTCACTGTGCCAGGACCTGGGGGGCGTGAGGATACTTTCTTCCTGTTCCTGGGGATGCAGCATTCAAGCAGACTTAGCGTGAGCACCAGTCCCCCCGGCTGGGCAGCTCTGCTCCTCCTCCTTAGACTGCAGCAAAACCACAGTGCGCCTTTTGTGTTTCTAAAACCCCTGGATAGACCCCGGACTGGCCACGCCGTGTGAGCTGAGGGAGAGCGTTGAATGAATCCTCTCGCAGGGGGTCTCCCGTGACTGGGACCGGGGCGTGCCCCACAGCCTGACCCTGGTGCCAGCCCAGCCCCACCTTGTCCTTGCCAGGCAGGGGGCAGCCTCTCTGCGAGATGGGTGTGTTGCACTAACCCCGCAGCACCAGCCGCATCCAACCCTCCCTGTCTGCTGTCTCCCAGCCCGTCCCCCACAGTGGCTCCAGTGGCTACGGGAGCCTGGGCAGCAACGGGTCCCATGAGCACCTCATGAGCCAGACCTCCTCCAGCGACAGCAACGGTCATGAGGACTCCTGCCGGAGGAGGACCGTAAGTCACCTTCCGCCCCCGTCTGTCCCTGTCCCGGGGAGACGGGGACGCCCGGGAGCCACAGAGCCCGTAGAGCCCCAGCCGCCCGCTCTCGGAACCCTGCTCACTCGGGCCTTACCCTCTACTCTCCAAGGGGGCAGCAGCCAAAAGCTGTGGCTACAGTTTGGGTGAAGATGACGTAAAGCAGGCAGTCAAGCCAGGGTGAAGACGTCACAAAATCGTTACCTTCCACGTCGCTCTGCGTTCTTGACATGTCCAGACGCATTTTCTCCAGCCCTGCCTCGCTCCGATTTCTCCTTCGGAGCTTGCTTCTGTGTTGCGGGGATTTCTGCGGCTCTCCGCTGTCCTCACTGCGGGGACAGGCTGAACCACTGCAGGGCCGCCTAGAGGGAATAACGTGTCCCTTTGTTTCTCCTCAAGGAAATTTGTAAAAATGGTGGCAATGTCAAAAACAAAAGTCATCCCGGGGAATCTGGAGAACAAAAGGAAAAATCTGCAGCAGGTAAAAACTTTCCGTTTCCGTAAGAAAATGTTAGTGTGGCGAGATGGCGAGAGGGACCCGGTTTGACTTTCACTCTGGATGGCAGGGAATTGGCCTCTGAAGCGCGCTGCATCCCCTCCCTTGTTCGGCAGCCCGGCTCTGCGGCAATGTGGGGCAGCATGGGCCTTCAGTCCGTCAGTCTCGCTGACCGGGCGCGCATCTGGCGCCCTCTACACCTGTTGAGGTGTGGCCAAGACATGCCTGCCTGCCCCCACGGCCCCTGTTCTTGCTCTGCGTAGTGGCCGGAGGGTTGGTGCTTACACTCTTGTGAGCACGTGCACACGCTTACCTCGGGGGGCTGCCCAGCCAACCCACAACGTTCATACACGTGAATGAAGTGTCTCAGGTGGATAGCACCAGCTTTGCTCATGGGCCCCCCTCTCCTGGGGAGCCAAAGGCACAGGGGGCGGTCCGCAACCCCCCACCACCTGAGCCTGCTTCCCAACATTGTGACTTGCCACCCTCATGCCCGGGCTCACTGCGACCTCTCCCCCTGGTGCGCTCTGGCTCACCCCTTGCGCTCAGGGCTTACCTCCTCCGGGAAGCCTCCGGTGGCTGCCCCAAGCCTCTTCTTCACCAGGAATTTTGGCCTTCGGGACATGTGGGGGTGCACTTTGCCCCCAGTGGCCACGCTGCATGCTGCAGTCTGTGTGGGTTTTGGGGACACACTGGGGAGCAGGACACAGCTCTGCCCCCGAGGGCCCCTTGGGGGATAGCACGCAGTGCGTGTGCAGAGGGCGGGCAGAGAAGCGCCCACGGCAGGCTGTCCCGGAAACACATGATTGTTAGTACCGCCGGTGCACATTTCCAGTGGTCCTCTCCTCCCCGAGACACGGAATATCCATCAACCGTAAAGCATCTGCCCTCTTACTGGCCCCGAACGTTTCAGGAGTTCAGTAAGAACTGGCCTTTTCTGGGGCTGAGTCCCTGACCCTGGGGACAGCCCCCGGGGGAAGCAGGCCCCCGCCCTGGTGACAGCGCCCTCTGGCTTCCCTCTGGGGGCAGCACAGGGGCGCTCGCCCCAGCAGGGCTGCCTGAAGAGCCAGCTGGCGCTGGGTTTCCGTGTCTAAGAATCACAGCCTGATGTTTAGGTAGAACTAAAATGCTTTCTGAATAGAGAGTCCTCTTTGGGGGAAACAGGTGTTAACTGAAAGAACTATTTTGTCCTTCTTTCAGAAATGCCAAGTGGTTCCTCTGCTCAGATGAAAGCTGTCCCCATGGAACAGCACAGCTCGGGCACCAGCCTGCCCACGGGCGGCTCTCCCGAGGACCTGGGCTGCAGGAACCCGCCCGCTGGGTCCTACCAGCAGATCAGCTGCCTGGACAGCGTCATCAGGTGCGGGCACTTCTGGCCCCCGCCTGGCTCGTTCACGCCCTCTCGGGGCCCCCGTGTTCCATGAAGCCCTCTCCGACCCTCCGCGCAGGTACCTGGAGAGCTGCAGTGAGGCGGTCACCCTCAAGAGGAAGTGTGAGTTCCCGGTGAGCGTGGCGACACAGAAGGCCAGCGATAAGCGACAGGCAGTGGCCAGCCCCGGGCTGCATTCCACAGGTGTCTTGTTGCTTTGAGCTGTGCGGCGTGCGTGCGATAACGCGGGTCCTCCGCTGTGGGGTCAGGTGTCATCAAAGGCCCGGAGCCCCCTGCTCCCTCCCATAGGAAGTCTGAGCAGCTTCAAGGACACAGTATGTGCGGGCGCCTGGGTGGCTCAGTCGTTAAGGACACAGTATGTGCGTGTAGGCTGTTTTTAAATGACCAAAGTAGCTCAAAAGTTAGCAATCTTCTTACAAGCTAGAGGTAAAGGGGATTTGGGACTTTGACACTAGGATCCTGCTGGGGTTGCTGGAGGCCTGGGGGCATCTCACATTGTCATTCTTGGGCAGTCTTGTCTCCATGGTCTCTCGGAGGAGCATGGGCCTCTGAATGTTAGTACACCCCCCGAGTCAGCTTACATCTTGGGCCCCTCCAGCGTTGTGAGTGTTGCCGGTGGTCATTAGCAGGCTCGGAAACCGGGTATCCCATTGTTGACAGAGCACTAGGGTTGGGCAGTGACACTGTGGTGGACAGTCCCTGCCGTAGCCCCTGGGGAGAGAGCGCCAGCCACTGGCCAGCTCCCAGCAGAGGGTGGGCTCCCGGCTGCCTGCGTGGCCTCTGTCCACAGGCCTGCCGAAGGGCTCCGGGCCCCAGTCAGAGGCGGCTGACCCCGGGTACCTGCAGCTGTGCAGCCGCCCAGCTCCTCTTGGAGGACGCAGGCTGGGAGACTCTGCTTGTGTCTATTTCAGACCTCCCTCTTCTCCGTCTTCACCCTGTGAATAAACACCTGGGGCCGTCGCACACCCCGGGGGGTGCAGGCTGTGCGGGTCCCCTGGGTATGGGCGCACCGTGCAGACAGCGGTGTTTCTTATCCGAGCGGTTTGCTTTTACTGCATTTCTGTGTTTGTGTCCGTTTTCTCCTATAAAGAGACAGCGTCGCCCTCCAGGGTGAACGGCCATGCGGAGCTTAGCGCGCCCCTGCCGCCACTGGTGCTGCCCGGCAAGGCGGAGAGCGTGGCGTCCCTCACCAGCCTGTGCAGCTACAGCAGCACCATTGTCCACGTGGGCGACAAGAAGCCACAGCCTGAGCTCGGTATGCCCGCTGTTCTCAGACAATGTCGGGAGCAGCCTGGTTTTAACGATGAATATTAGAAATCGGGCGCAGAAGCAGGGCGGGGCGCAGCGGCACCCATCTCCTTTCCCGCCGCGCTCTGGCGCCACCTGGTGGCAGTTGTCTGCTTGGGCATAAATGGGGTAGGAGCCCTGGTGGTGCTGAACCAGGCCTCCCGGCGACTGAGCTGGGGTCCTAGGCGTCGGCGACTGAGTGGGGGTCTTAGGCATCCGCCTTCCTTGGGGCTGAGGGTCCCCACTCCCTCCCGTTTGAGGACAAGAGCCAGGACAGGTCGTACCTGCAGGGCAGCCAAGGGTGCCATCCCTGAGTTACCTTGTTCTTCACAACACCCACGAGTGGATTGAAACCCAGGTTTGTTCTTTGCTGAGAAGAGAGGGAAGGTGAGGGGAAAGTACACGGAAGAGAGTCAGTGGGTCCTGAACCAGGACAGGGGCCCTGCGCCAGCTTAGTGTGTCGTGCTCTCAAAGCTAAGGACAGCCCAGGAGCAGCATCTTCAATGTTGGGCTGAAACCCCAGATACCCCACATTTCAGTTTGCTTCCATGATTGACCCTGGAGCCGCCCAGGCCGTGGGGCTTTCTGTCCTTGTGTTGTGCCCTTGATTGTTAACTTTCTCAAAGGGCTACCTGAATGCGCACGGATTACAGCCCCGAGCTGCGGCAGCACGAAGCATCTCACGTGTGTTCGAGGGGCTACCTTCTTCAGAGACGTGGTGTGGGTTTTCCGTTGTTTTAAACCCCGGGGCCCATCTTCTGTTCCAGAGCTGGTGGAAGACGCTGTGAGCGGGCCCGAGTCTCCGGCCGGCTGGCCGTGCATCCTGGGCCTGGAGAAGGAGCCCCTCAGGACACTGGGCCTCACCAAGGAAGTGCTGGCCGCCCACACCCAGAAGGAGGAGCAGAGCTTCCTGCTCAAGTTCAAGGAGATGCGGAAACTCAATGTCTTCCAGTCTCGGTGCCATTATTACTTACAGGAGAAGTCCAGGGGGCAGCTGAGTGAGAGAAGTAAGTGGCGAAACCCAATTTTAGAAACGGTCTTCTTGGTGGAACGGAGTCCAGTGCTCCTGTGGATGTGTGAAATGTCCCCAGTTAGATACAGGCTGGAACTTAGCAGTGGTGCAGTCTGTTCCAGTAGAAACAGGTGTCCTCTCATGTCCCCGGGGGAACAGTGCTATCAAGAGCAGCGACGGTCCCAGGCTGGCCCCCGCGGAACGCAGTGCCGCCACGTGAGACGGTTCTCACTGGGTGACCGCGAGGGGCAGGGGACCCTACCTGCCCACGGTCCTGACGGGGCATGTGGCGTCAGACTCCTGAGGACTTACTCCTTCTCCCCAGGAGACATGCCCTCCTGCCAGGCGGCCCCAGGGCGAAAGGACAGACCCTGGTAGTGTTACAGGCAGAGAGCCAGCAGGTGCTCAAAGGGCACGGGGTGAAAAAAAATAGACGGGGCAGGTCTGACCAGAGACGCCACCTCTTCCCAGGGCTCCCCAGGCCAGACACAGGGATCAGAGTTAGTGAGCCCAGGAGACACAGGCACCACAAGGACCCAGCTTCTCCTGCATCTGTAGGCAGATACACCACGAAGTGAATACATAAGAAGTGAAAGAGACTGATGCTGTCAAGGATTATGTCTTTTCTAGTCTTTTCCTTTTCTCCTCCTTCCCCAGACTTAGGGTGACCCGCCAGGCCACAGAGAATCTCTTTGGAAATTAGGAAAAGTTGTCACCTCCTACCCTGGGCAGACCCACCCTGTGGGCCTGGCTTAGTGCAGAGCCCCAGCCCCCTCTTGCCCCTTTGGCCCAGCAGATTTTGCAGTGCACAGACTCTGCAGCTGTCCACTGCAGCCCTGTCTAGACCCTGATGTGCTGTCCCAGGAGCCCAGTGCTTCAGCCACTAGTCCCGCTAGGGGACAGGTTTCCTATAGAAAGAATACCAGAGTCCGAATCACAAGGCCTCTGCCCACTTAGCACTTTGCCTTGGACTGGCCCATTTGTCTTCAGCATGGAGCAAAGGTAAGGAGCACCCCTTGGCACAGCTGACAGGTGTCCCCACGTACCTGCTGCAGAAGCCCCGAGTTACCCTGTGTGACATGAGAGGAGAGACTGAGGTTCCTGGGACCCATCCCAGGTGTGGCATGACCCCCCAGCCCAAAGTACTGCTCATGCTGGCCCAGGCCCAGGGGAGGTGTGGTGACAAGCCCAGAGTCCCTTCTGCTACCTGTGGAGACCTCCAGCCTTGTCAAGAAGGACTGGTCACCAGAGAGAAGGAAGGTGGCTCCAAGAGCATGTGCTCCTTCCACCCTCTGACCTCCACTCAGGCTGGAGTCCAGGCTTCATCTGACAGGCAAAGCAGGAAACGTCTCGCTTTAAGGAACAGTAGTGACGAAGCCCTTAAAATTCAAAAATAGGGTTAGATGAGATCAGGGGTCTAACCCTTCAGATTTCACAAACCAGTGTTGGGGAACAGCGGAGACTTACCAGCCTTTTTACTTTTTGGACGAATGAAACCTTTTAAATACCACGTTCCATCACGATTATTTTGTAAGAAAAAGGATATTTTAACACAAGAAAACAGGGCACATGATTTTGCAATTAATGGCAATCTCTAAAATTGGCTGGGTCTGGTTTCATGAACATTTTGCCCTGACTGTTCTCACTTCACCGAGGGCCAGGGAGCACCTGACGGTGGTCCTAGTGGCCACAGGCTGACGTTTGGAAACACAGGACTGCCGAACTTGGAGGTGTCCTTGGGTTTCCGGGAGCCTACGAGTCTGAAAACTGACGCAGCAGGAGTCACGTTAAGTGTTCATTATCTTAACCCTGGTGTTTTCCCATTATTTTAGCCGTGCCGGGACTAAGAAATACCTCTGGAATAGATTCATCTTGGAAAAGAACCGGGAAGAACAGAAAACTGAAGTCCAAACGGGCCAAGCCTCGAGATTCCTCCGAGAGCACTGGGTCTGGGGGGCCTGCGCCCCACCGGCCCCCACTGATGGGCCTGAACGCCACAGCCTGGTCACCGTCGGACACATCCCAGTGCAGCTGCCCCAGGACGCCCGGCCCCGCCCCGGTGCCTGCCTACTCCCTGCCCGTGTTTCCAGCCCCAGGAATCCTGCCCACACCAGGGACAGTGGTGGCGGCTCCCCTGGCCTCCCAGGCCAGCTTCGCAGTGCCCGCCGCGCCCATGGATGCCCAGCACGAGTTTGCCGTCCAGCACCCGCCGTTCGCTGTCCCCTTGGCCCCAGTCATGGCGTTGGTGTTACCCAACCACTCCTTCCCTTCGGTGACCCACAGCCTGCCCCAGGCCTTCTTCCCAGGCCAGGCTGACTCTCTGTCCGAGGTGATCCCTGCCTCACGGCCCGAGCTCCCTGGTCGGACCTCATCCCCCAAAGTGCCATGCACGTGGCCTCAGGTGGAGCGTGGGCCGGCAGCGTCCCGCGCAGCCACCCCGGCCTCCCCGCCGGCCGCCTCTGGGCCCCTGGGCAGAGCCTCTCCTCCGCTCTTCCAGTCCCGGGGCAGCTCACCTCTGCAGCTCAACCTGCTGCAGCTGGAGGAGGCCCCTGAGGGCAGCGCCGCGGCCGCAGGAGCACCAGGGGCCTCAGGGACGGCGTGTGCGGGGCCTGACTGCAGACCTGCCGCCTCCTGGGACCGGCAGCCGAAGGCCTCACCAATCGTAAGCATTCCTGCCGTTCCTTCTCTAAAGGAGGCAGCAGGGCAAACGCGCTCTTCTCTCTCGTGCGGGTGCTTAGACGCTTGCGGCTCCTGCCAGACGGTTCTGGTCGCGACGTAAATACACGGGCTGGACGTGAATGTCTTCCAGTTCAGCAACCCCGTCAGAGTAGGCCTGTGGGAGCTTTTTATTATTTAGGGATCCAGATGAAGGAAGCTGGCTAGATTGTCTGACGGTGAATACAGGGGTCCAGATGCCCCCACGCAACTTCGTGACTCATTGTGAGCTCCGACATTTTACCTGAAGCTCCAAGGATAAGCAGAGTCAGCTTAAATGCCAGAACGCAGGCCCCTTGGAGGGCAGCGGGGGCCCCCTGGGTGGAGGGGAGGACAGAGCTCTGAAACCAGGCCATCCGCGCCCCTCCTCCCAAGTCCTATGGGACACTCGTGTGCAGTTCTCGTTCAGTTCAGGAAACTGATTGTGCTTCCGATGAACCACTTGTGTGTGGTGATGGCGCTGAGGTGTGTTGGCGCTCCCTGCCCTTGCTCCCGGGATGGGAAACGCAACCTCGTGGTCGCAGATGAACACCCTCCGTGTGCCCCGGGCCCCCCCGACTCCTGTGTCTGGGGTCCTGGGCCTACAGTTCTGGTTCTGAGGGTTGGGGGGTCAGGATGCCGCCAGACCAAGGCTGACCCCACTGGGAAGCCAGAGCCCCCCACCCCCACCCCACCGGGGGCAGCGGCCGCTGGGGTGCTGCTGACGCACTTCCCTGCTTCCCTGTCTGCTGGGGTGCAGGAACAGGACGAAGGCTTTTCTTTCAGGGATCCAAGACCCACTGACTTTGGTGTGACTGTCCCAAAGTTAGTTATTAGATTGTCCTAAAATCAGTTATTAGATGACACTTACACACCACTAGCAAGGGTGTTAGTGGCTGTAGTCCCAGTAACCGCGGGATGTGTTCATTTGGCCTTCTTCATTGGCACCTGAAGGGAGGGCCAGTGACCTAAGGAGGACCACACTTGGCTCTGTCCCTGAGCGGCCCTGTGCGGACAGCGCTGTGCGGCTCCCCCCAGCCCTGCTCTGTGCACCGCACCCCATCCTGTGCGCTGAGCCTCCCTCTGTGCACCAAGCCCCTCTCTGTACGCAGAACCCTGACTATGCGCTGACCCCCACTCTGTGCACCGAGCCCTGACTGTGCGCAGAGCCTCTCTCTGTGCACTGAGCCCTGAGTGTGCGCAGAGCCTCTCTCTGTGCACTGAGCCCTGACTGTGCGCAGAACCTCTCTCTGTGCACTGAGCCCTGACTGTGCGCAGAGCCTCTCTCTG